TATTTGAAGGGTGCCCTCTCCCAACATCAATTTTACAATCTCTCCAGAGGTGTTCATGGGATTTAGTTCCGGACTCTGGCCACTTCAGAACTCTCCAGTGCTCCGTTTCCATCCACCTCTGGGTACTTTTTGAAGTATGTTTGGGGTCCTGCTAGAAGACCCATGATCTAGGACACAAACCCAGCTTTCTGACACTGGGCCCTACATTGCAACCCAAAATCCTTGGGTAATCTTCAGATTTCATAATGCCTTGCACACAGTCATGGCACCCAGTGTCAGAGGCGGCAAAACAACCCCAAAACATCTTTGAAGCTCCACCATATTTGACTGGGGCAAAGTGTGTGTGTGTGTGTGTGTGTGGGGGGGGGGGGGATTAAAAAAAAGGCCAGAGGTGAGTCAATAATTTTTAATACTCTGACTGGTCTGTGAGTACTCTGTGTTTGTGTCTTTTTCTTGTACTCCCTAACCCCGGCTGGTCGAGACAAATGGCTGCCCAGCCTGAGCTTGGTTCGCTGGAGGTTTCTTCCTGTTAAAAGGGAGTTTTTCCTTTCCACTGTTGCCTTTGTGCTGCTCAGGATGAGAGACTGTGACAAAGCTAAGAATTGATGCAATCTGCAGGCTTCTTTAGATAAGTTTGACTAATGTATGTGAATATTTTTCTACAGTGCCTTGAGATGAAATTGGTGCCATATTAAAAAAAAAGACCTTATTGAAGTATATGCCAAGAGACTTGAAGAGCTCAAAGAACAAAAATACACTTGTGACTTTGCACCAAACACAAAGACTTGAAAAAGTTCCATGTCAGTAGAAGCACACAAAAGCAATGAAATGAATTTCGAATGCAGATTCTAATTATCCCTGTGAATCTTAACCTTCTCGTTTCAGTTTTTTCTGTATTGTTCTTTGAGCATGCACCAGGATATTGTTCTTTGTGTTGCAGATCACGTGACTTTTAAGCCTAAATGAGTCATCTGCAGATACTTAATTGATGTGAGATTACTTAACACAACAAACACTTCCTTAACCAAGTTATTCATGAAGCAGAAAGTTCAGCAAAAGCTCTCTGGTATAGGAATAATAAGAGGAGGAAATGTCTGCCCGTGTCAAACTGCAGCTTCTCTAACAATAACTGTTCTGGTTAACAATGGGACTTAGTAATTGTCACATGTTTTACTAGGACTGTCACGATAACAAATTTTGCTGGGCGATAAATTGTCTCCGAAATTATTGCGATAAACAATAATATTGTTTTAAATTTGACAATAATTAGTAATTATTGTCAAATTTAAGAAGAAATGTAGGTTCATTTGTTTTGAGTGCAGTACCTTTTTTTGACCACTGGATGGCAGTATAAGACTGTTTGAACCGAAGGATGGATAGTGAGGGAGCGAGCAGTGTGTCTCTTTAAGAAAAATGGGAGGGAGGCACCTTGAAGTGACATGGGCTGTCACTCTTTCCTTTATTTCAGTTCTCAAAATGGCGGATGCTCTGTGTGGTTTGAGCTCTTTAGCATAACATTTTTCACACAAAGCTTTTAATAAAAATAAAAAAATCAGTAAACAAGTTCTCAGCTTCTTTTTGCAGAGAAAAACAACTTTTTACATGAAGGCACAAGACGAGAGTTCCCCCCCCCCCCACCCCCCCGAGATCGGCCTGTTAGCTTAGCTTTTCAGTTTAGCTGCTTTTAACAATCTAAAAACGCAATCTTTGGATCGTTAAAACAGATTTTAAAGCGAAAAGAGAAAGGGAGGGGTCAGTGAAGAGCACCGGAGTTGAGCCTTTTGTCATCCAGTGTCTTCAGTAGAAAGAGAGAGACACGAAGAAACGATAAAGCCGATAAATGAAAATGAGGTCGATAATTTTCATTCATCATGCGATTAATTGATTTAATGTTTATCACGACAGGCCTATGTTTTACGTAACATCTCTATCTGTCAGACAAAACCTAAAATAATCTGTTGCTCAATGACGGTGTCAAGATTTGTTACATAAAGCATCTACTTGTGCACTACATGAAAATAATTCCCCAGACTTTCGTGAAGACCCAGCAGTCCTCGAAGGACAGCAATTGCTCAAGTCGTAGCTGTTCTGGTCAAAAACCTTGAAAAACACGTTATGAGCAATCTCATGCGATATCTGAGTTGGAGCTCTTTGTGTGATGTATAGTGTTGATCAGCTGTGATGTTGATCAGCTGTGATAGCCATCTTAAATTGGACTAACTCCAAACTTTGTTGTAGAAGTACATACATCAGTCATTTCCTGGAAATGCCTTTAAAATCCATCAAGTGATTCATGACATATTTTGACAACAGTCAGACAAAGTTGACTACATACAAAGAAGTACATTTTGTGAAATCTGTTGCACAAGATCTGTTGGGGATGAGTCTCAGCTACCAACACATCAAATTCTGGGCGGCCATCTTGAATCGAGTTGAAAGTAGAGTTGTAGATATATCAAATAATTACTTCAACTTTTGTTCAAATTTGTCCACTGCTTAATGACGAACGTTCATATTTTTATCCTTATTAGGACATTGGATTGACTTTTATTCATTTTGTATTCCTAACCCTGACCCTTAACCTAACCCTTAATTTGACCGTAGTTCATGTCTTAGCTCCAAACCTAACCTGTGACCCAAAAATGATGCTCCACTGTATTAAGATCAGGCTTTTGTCCATAAAAACACTAGTGGTCATGAACTGGTAGGTGTGTATACCAGACAAAAAAAAAGTATGAGAAATAACACCAATAAAAAACAAGGTATGCATGCACACAGCAATGCAAACTCATCCAGGACATGTTAGTCTAATACTTAACCTTACTATTTAAATTCATGTTATTGATTTTTTTATGTTAATAATATTACCAGGAAAATAAATGCAAAGATCTGCCTAAAAAGCACCACTTGTGTGGCTTTACATATAGAAACATGCTGGTGAGACTGTAGCCATTTCACCTCCCTGGCAATTAGCCAGAAATAAAACAAAAATCACAAAATCTTTTGAGCTTTGTGAGCTGATAAATTGCATATTTTTAGCAGTTGAGCCAGTGCAGGAATGTAATGAGAAAAAAGTAGGTCTTGTGGGTGATATTTTAAGAATATGTGTGTTCACCTAATCACTTAGCCTCATTTGTCCTCAATCTTCCAAAGAAAGCTGAGACCACAACACACTTTTAGACAAACATATCTTGCAGAGTTCAATCACAACTTTGCCTCATGGGTACAAAAGTCCCTAAAACTAGCTTGTATGTCACCAGCGTTATCTGGCAGCTTTGACCAAACTGAAATCGAAACCCTTGTGACTGATAAACCCATTGGACAAGTCGTTTAAAGCAAACTACTGTTTCTATTTGAGTAGACTGAATCAAAGTCAGAAAGCGCAAAGGTCAGCAGAGGAAAAAAGTTTAAAAAATGTTACAGATAAGAAACAAAGAGTAGCCAAAGCATCCTAACACTATCTGGGTAACATTTTTGGTCAGCTATCTTTACAAATTGTTTAACTAGAGAGAATACTTACAACTTTTAAAGAGCTTTAATTATTTTTAATTGCAGAACCCTTTGCCTCAACTTGAGTTAAAATTTTAAACATTTTTTGTAGTATTTCTCCTACTGCTGTGAAGTAGCACCAGAAAAAAAAACCCAGCTTCTATCCTTTTAAACACCACATAAAACCCATACTTTGACAGGGGTGCACACTTTTTCATCATGCAAGCTCCTTTTAAAATGATCAAGTCAAAGTGGTCTACCCCATATCCACAAGAACAACCTCTGGAAATGTTAGTGTTTTTTTTTCAATGTTTATTGGGGGTAATAATCAAAAAATTAGTGGGTTTACACGAAAAATGCCATAGATTCCATGTCAGTCGGGTTGCCAGATAAGAAATTATGAACTATAGGACTGTGGCTTTCAAATGATAGTATTTTGACCTAAGCTGATGAGTAAATATATTCTAAGATGAGGTATGTGCTGTGTTTGTTGAACATGTACACAGAAAAGGAGGGGGTAATTAAGATATTTTAAATTTATCTGGCAACCCTGATGCTGGCTAAGCTGTATACATTGTACATGCAGTGTCTGCATGACCAGTTACGTGGTTAATACACTAACGTCTCTTTGAACCATGGATTTTATTAATTTTGATCCTACATGCTGAAAAAGGGTGAGTAGCGCAAACTAAAACACTTTGCTGTTTGCCATTTGTTATAACTGTTGTTAGTGCAGAAAACTTTTGACTGCAGCCGCCTGTAGTGCACATGTGAGGCTTCACGTATGGAGAATTTCACGGGGAAAATCACCACTCTGAGGCCTGGTTTGAGAGCATGAGGGCTGTGACTGGCTGCCCTGTATGTCAATCAAGTAACAAATTTCATAGTGAGGACGGATGATAGGCTGACGTCTATTTTTTTAATGCCATGCGAGCTACCCATAATGCCTTTGCGATCGACTGGTAGATAGCGATCGACGTATTGGGCAACCCTGATCTACAAGACCGATAAATAAAGAATAATCAACCCAGTAACTAAAACTGCATGTGCAGTTAATCAGTGTGACCATAAAATACTTACATAAGTGAACACTATTAAAAAAAAGAGCAGAAACAAAGCAGGCAACAGGTAAACAGAGAAGAGGAAGGTAAAAAAAAAAAATAAAGAATCTTTCTGTAAAGTGATACCTTACAAAAGCAGCTTATGTGCACGGACGTGGAAAAATCGTGTTAATTTATTTTTCCATCAACCTACAACAGTTACAGTGTTTATGGATTTTCACCTGTTTTGAAATTACTACACAAACTTTAACAGACCTGGTTGTTTAACACTATGATAATGTATGGAAAAACCCTGCCATCAAAAAAAAACAACACATTTTAGGTAATACTGGCAATATTCTTTTTTTTTTTTTTATTCTAAAAAAAAAAGTTGATTTAAATGTTTTCAGTTTAAAGCAATTACTTAAATGTTTGCAGCAACAGGACCAGATGATAACATAGTTCACTTACTGCCACAGCTACTATGGAGTCGTCTGGTTTCCATTCTGCTTTCTGGTAGAAGCCAAACTGGGCCGCCGCCTTCGCAGACTCGATGTAGCTGACTATCAAAACACTGGGCTGTGTGCGAAGAAAAAAGGGACATGGAAAAGAAAATGAGCACGTCAAAAATTCCACAAATTACAGCCAGCTGAATGCTTTATGGAGTAAACATTTCACTTTTATTAAAACCTATGTGCAGGAGCTACAGGAGAAAAGGGCCGACAACGAGGGAAACATTTTGGTTAAATAAAAATGCAGCAACACTGTGAGATGGCTTTTGATGTATGACCACAGCAGTGTAAGAAATTTTTAATAACTTTGTAACGTGCACTTTGTGTATCATCTTTCGCCAAACCCAATTATGTGTTTGATGTTTAAATTTATACAGCAACTGAGAACCAAAGTGACAAGGAATGAAAAACATACAAAAAAATGTACCATGCTACAATAAGGGTATGCTTATAAATGGCTAATTAATAGTTAATAGCATAGTTATTAATCTACCTGTAAACACCTAATAAACCATTAATAAGCAGTTATAGTGCATTCATTAAAAAGGGCAATATGGACTCATCTCTTCCCAAATAGCGAGTCTGCTTGAGTGTATAAATAGTCTTAGAGCTGATTTTTAAATGCTTTAATGCAAGTGTTGATAAATTCACAAATAACATTAAGCATTAATACGCCCTTTAAGAAAGTATAGTTATTGTAAAGTGGTACCAAAAATACTAAAGTGTGTGGTAAACTGGCAGCACGGTGGCGCAACTGGTAGAGCTGCTGCCTCTCAGCGAGCAGGTTGCCGGTTCAAATCCAGGCCCGGAGCCCTTTCTGGGTGGAGTTTGCATGTTCTCTCCGTGCATGCGTGGGTTTTCTTCAGGTACTCCAGTTTCCTCTCACAGACTTAAAAACATGCATGTTAGGCTGATTGGTAACTCTAAATTGTCTCTAGGTGTGAGTGAGAGAGTGAATGGTTGTTTGTCTCTGTGATGGACTTGCGACCTGTCCAGGGTGTCCCCTGCCCCTCGCACAGTGATTGCTGGACATGGACACCGGCGACCCCTGTGACCCAAAATGGAAGAAGCGGGTAAAAGATAATGGATGTTGTGGTAAAGTTTGATGACTTGCATCAATGACTCATTGAGTAAAGAGTTTATATGTTTATCCATCACCAAAGAAAAACAACAAATATAAATTATTAAGTTAAGTCAGGACTGTTTGAGTTCTGAACAAATTTGAGATATTTTGTCCCAAAACTACACTGCAGAAAGCATAACGTTGCATTAGTGCAGTGAACACATCCAAGTCTGCAGAAACTCTTTAGCACTGAACTTTTATGACTTTATGACTGAGTGTTGGCCATATTTTCATTCCTAAAAGCAGAACTAGGTAATTATTTTTGGAATGAAACACACAAGTAACATGCTGACTATAGAGCATTACATTACTTAAACATGCATCAACTCTAAAAACAAGCAAAAATTGTGAGGCTGATCATGGCACGTGTAATTTTGCACTTTTCATCAACCAACACATCAAAATACACATTTTATTTTTTAAATAGTCTATTCCACTGCTTTTAAGATAAGTCTGAATATACTAAAAGCAACACGAAAAAATACTACCTTAAAAAACAAAACGATAATGGATCTAAATTACGATAAAGCATTCAAAGACAGCATTTCTAAGATGATAATACTTATGATACTTGACAGTGAATATTTATACTCGTAAAGACGTGCACTGAGCAGATATATTTACTCAAAACCTATTTTTGCCAAAGCATTGTCAGAAAACTACTTTAAAATGTGTATGGCTTTAATGCTTGAATGTAAAACTTCTAGAACATTCCTGAACTTATTTCCTTTATTGTGCCTTAAGCGCACATATCAAGATGTTATGTATTATTTACAAATATTTAGCTACAATTAATAAAAGTGAAAAGTATGAAACGATTGATGAAGAGGGGAGCTTTACTAGATGCTTAAGAAGATTGCCACCCCTGCAGCTGATGTATGGTTTAGAATTGTTTTGTATGGTTTTATCAGGGAAAGTGATATCTGATTCAGTACACATTATAGCACAGGTAAAATTATAACTTAATCAAATACAATTTATAAACAAACATTACACAAAAAGCAACATGTTTTCTTTTTATTTTGTCCCAATAGGAAAAACCAGTACACTATGTGCTGGTCAGGTAACAAGTCAGGAAACACTTCTAATTGTAGATATAATGATACCTTTAGTTACTGTAATTAGAGAAGAGGTATTAACAGTTTCTGTCCTGCAGTGTCTGCTTCATTAAATTAATAATTAATAACAGCTGACTGGACAATAGAAGCCTCTCTCCTTCTTAAAGCTCTGAAACTACAACATACGGGATGTTTAGCTGTTATGTCCTACATATAAAACACTATCTTTTGATGGCTTTAGCCAGGTTGTTTAAACAGTTTTATTTAATCAATCGCATAAAACTCAAACCACTGTTTTTGGAAAAGAATAAATTAAAGATAAGTGACTGATCTGTGTAATGTTCGTTTATAAAATACCAAGAAATACAGACGGAGGAATTCAATAATTCTTTGTTGGGTTAAATATTTCAGGGACTTATGAGAACAACAGATGTGAAAGGTGCATGTCAGGAGGAGAACGTTGCTCCAATCAACACCGCAGAGACGTTTATCTTTTCACATTCCTCTTTTGTACTTGTAGGCAGCGAGGCAGAGCTCTAAAAAAGAAAGGAAGCGAAATATTTTCACATCCTGTAGGCAGCTCGGAAGAATAGCAGTGACCTTCATTCATTGTTGCTGCATCTCAATAATATACAGACCGCTCAGAACAAAGATTGGTATAAACAATATGCAAGGTTATCAAGACAAAAACGAGCTCTATGTTGCTATGGGAAATTCTCCTGACAAATGAGGATTGGAGCGCACGATTAAAAATGGTCAAAACGTACATCTTTGTTTGGAGTTTTAAGTCAAAAATGGCAGATGGTGCTCTGTCCTGAACCGATTAGTTTCATAGTTTGTTTTTTGATTTTTTAGGTTGGGCACCCACAACTCATTCTAGCCTTTACCTGGCTTTCTTGGACAGGTTTATTGCCTGCATATCAAGAAATACAATGTAAGCTTGGATAAACTACAGTGCCTTCAGACCTGCACTACTTGGCACTAAAAATACAGCATCTTGAGGTTTGTGTCAAATCTTAATTACTCCCTCTGTGATTTTTCTGTTACACATTGCTGGTCAGACCTATTAACACAAATATGCATCACTTTCCACATGGCACAAGTCTGAACTGTTCAACTTGAATTAATGGGCAGACATGCAGTGGAGCAGCGAGTTCCTTTGGCTACTAATCAGATGTAAACAAAACCTGACGGATCACATTGTTAGATAAATGAAATACTCTGCTCATTCATGACTTTACCTATACTTAAAAAAAAAACAGCCATTATTTAAATATCTAGGAATAAAGAAAGACAAAAGTCTAAAATCACTGAGCCATTGTCGTTATGCACATGTCAGAAAACGTAATTCATTTTTTAGTCCACTAAATGTCACATCAGCAGTTGTACATCACCACCATCCCACATCCATCCTTACTGAATCATTTCCTCCATGCAGGCAACTGCCAACATTTTTGTTTTAAGGTCAACAGACCTTTGGACCATCACTGTTAATGGTGACCTCGGATTAGCCGGTCAGGGAGAACAGACTAAACATCATCGCAACTGAAGTAGTTGAGAAAAAAACAAGAGTTGATACAGTAGCAAAACTAAAGCTTCTTTCACAGAGCATATTTACGGTGGGACGGATGTGTATTGCCATCCTGTTTATAAGACTGGAGGTGGAATGAGGGCTGAAGCCTCTGAGCTAACGACAGAGCCAACTGGCTTGCACGTGTTGTGTTGCAAGCACAGCTCCTACCAACAGTGTGATGCAAGTGCTGCGTGAAAATGGATTTTCTCTACTTAAACTACATGTGGTTGACATTTTTGTGGAAAAGCATGAAGAGGTGAAGCAACGGGAGACTCTTCATGCCAACGTCTCTGCAGAGATCGGCCTCCAACATGATGACAGGATGTTCTGCCCTAACAGCATAGAAGTGTGATACGGCAAGAGGATGGGAATTTATTGTAGATGGTGACCAGTTCATATAAAGACATTACAACTTTTTTTTGTTATTCTTTCAGCTGCTCCCTTCTTCAGGGGTTGCCACAGCGAATTAACTCGCAAGGAGACTTGGCGAATGTTTTTACACTGGATGCCCTTCCTGATGCAACCACAGACCACTGAGCTACCACAGCCCTCTATGTGGAGCAGAGAGCTGCTATCTAGGGCATCTAGGGGTTAGGGGCCTTGCTCAAGGGCCCAGAGTGGGGCAAATGAGGGTAGACGCAGATGTGGGTGCAACACATTTCAATTCCCATCCACATTTTTGACGTTGTCAGTCTGGGGGTTGGAACCAGTGACTTTCCAATCACAGACTTGCCTTCTCTAATCTCTGTCCCCTACACTAATATTATTTATTATTTATAAAACACTATAGGGGAGCCTAACAATGTAATATGAACGTAGTATTTGATTTTTCTAAGTGTGTCAATGTCACACTCAAAAGTAAACAGTGCATTTGAGAAACTCCAAGCTTACTTGTTACCAGTGATGGGAAGACTGAAGGAGAAGTCTGTAAATCTTTGTGGCAATAACAGAAAGAATGATGGACGAGGAACGTCCTTCATTCTGCGCAGGCGTACAAACCTACGTCTTCGATGACGAGGACCTAAAGTTACCTGTCGTTTATGTGACAGGTGTACAGGTGGCAGCTTCAACCAGCATTTACACTGTTACTTAAATATTTAAATTTTTAAATTTAAAAAGATGAAGTCAAACTGTTGTGTGGCAGTGAAAATAAATCGCCTGTAGTTGGTGAGGATGAGTACAATAAGTGAAAGTAGCATTTGCTGGAGTTGAGTCATTGGAGCCAACAATGTTAGCTGTTTTTACTAACTTACCCGACTGAACCAGATGCTGAGTTGTGTCTCTGACAACAGGGCGAAGTAAAACCTCTGGGAGCTGGGCTGGATGTGGAAGGGCTCCTCTGCGCTCCTCAGCGGACACAGCAGCCTCCGGGGCCAGCCGGTTAGAAAATACATGATGGCAAACTCCCTTCTCCTCGACACTCCAAACAATACGGCAGTGCCAGATCCTCCTTAAGTAGCTACCTTTTTAATCCAGGTGACTCATGAACGGTTCTTTCTGTGGAAAACGACACCTGTGACTGAACCCAGTTCGGGCACAGCTCAGGTTATCAACACGCAGACGCCGCAGAGAGCAGCCGACAAAGCTACGCGGCTAGCCCTGGGTTAGCATCGGCTTTACAACTTAAGCTAATGAGCGGTTCAAGGGAACCAGAGTAACCCAAAACAAAAAGCGACCAAGACCCGAAAGAGTTGACCATAAAAGAGCGAGCGGCGCTTGGCAAATAAGATCGATTAACTCTCAATCCCGGTGCCGCGTCAGTTTTTTCGGTGTTTGTTAACGGCTAGGCGTCCAGTTTTCACTCCTCTGTACCTCACCGAAGCCATTTTTACAAGAATGTTCAGACTGAACTCTGATTGGCCAGAACGGACGTGTTGACATCTGACGTCACCACACGGTTGCGTGAAGCGTTTCAACAAAAGCAATGTAGCTCAATGTTGACACCTAGTGGTCAAATTAAAATGTTACACAAACATTGGCTGTTAATTTTCTCTGTTTTCCCTTGGACTTTAAAAATACTGTACTTTACAATGTCTGCGCGGGCAGAAGTAACAAATTGTATTTTTTTTAGACGTATGATTAAAAGAGAGAAAAAACAATATAGCAATTCTATACTGAACTTCAGTCTGGGGTCAAAGTATTTGTCAAAAATTGCTAGACTTATAAACAACAACTATTTTGTTTTATCCACTGTGACAAATTGACAAGTTGATAGCTGGATTGTTCAGAGAATTCAAAGTCCAGCTAATTGAGAAAAGTGACACAACAAAGAATAAATGTTGTATCGTTTTTATTTCAGATTGATAGATCGAACAATCAAAGGGAGTGACATTAAACTGCAGCCAGAGTAAATCATGGTTGGTTTGAATATTTGTATTTAAATGCCCTTCTCTGGCCTTAGATTGTACAAATAATTTTAATCCAGTTCCATTTTTTTCAAAGTCCACAACAGAAAAATCTTCTTGTTAATGATGAATTTTTCTCTTCATAGTCACCTGCAGCCTTTTATATGCTATCAAGACTGAATCAAAGTAAAGATTTGGTGCAGTCCATGGGCTTTCTTGGCAAAAAGACATTTTACAAACTGGCATTTTGTGATTATTAATTCTCTGGAATTTATCAAACAGGAAAATATATTTTTATTTGGATTTGGAGCTAGATCTGAATCTAACAATTATGTGATAAATGATAATTGATGAGTAGGACTTACTTTAAATAATAGGATTAAATGTGATTCGGTCCAATGGATTTGATTTAACACATTTGCTTTCTGTGTTGCTTCTTGGTCTTATATAAAAAAAAGTTAAGTAAACTGAAGTGAATTAATTGTAATTATTTGAATTTAATAATGCAGCATGCAGAAAGTTAAAAAAAAATGCCACACTCTCATTCACTAAACTGAAAAACATAAACGAGTATTCTATCTAAAAAAGTTAAATCTGGTCCTCTGGACATTCAAAAAAACAAAACAAAGCAAATCAACAAAAAAATGTAGAAACGTTTCGTCTCTCATCCGAGAGACTTCCTCAGTCTGAGGAGCTGTATTCAGCTCAGTCTCTTAAATAGCACCATCTCAGGGTGGATCAACCAATAAACGAGTATTGACCCTGTCATATCCCATCTGTGCCACAAGGGGCAGTAGACGTCGCTGACGTGACGTCGACGGCATTAAAGTAGTAGAAGAAGAAGATTTGCAACCTAGCATGTTCCGTTCCTGCTATACAAATTTTACACGTCTCATAATTCGTAAAGGTTTAAGTTTTTAAAACTACTGTCTGGGAGAATAAACTTTCAGTATTTTTTATTTTTTCATTTTATTGTGTGTTAAAAGGAAAGCTTTGTGGACGCTGCCGTAAACGGAAGACACGAAGAAGAAAACAAGCAGCATGGCTGTGGACATGAGATTACCGAAAACCATCACGTCTCTGCCAGTTGCTTTAGTCGACAGAAAAGATCTGGTCGTGCCTGGTGACGTTATTACCTCAGACACTGGTTTTATGAGGTGAGTACTCAGATTGCTGTACAAAGTAAAGAGCAAAACCTACGAGGCGAGCATTATAGAGTTTATTAACCAATTAACTAGGTTAAAGGAGCAGGAACAGCAACAAAACAAAATCATAACCTAATAAGTACTTCTGTTTGAGGCTTTGCTGCAGAAGTATTAAACGTCTCCTCACCCATGTTTTTACACAGGGGTCATGGGACATATGTTGATGAAGACAAGCTGACAGCTTCAGTCGCTGGAAAGGTACAGAGAGTGGACAAACTGATATGTGTCAGACCGCTGAAGACAAGGTGAGTCGTTTAACAGAGGCTCCTAAATTACTGTTCTTTGCAATCCAAAAAACAAAAATGGGCTAACATTCAGAATTCCCTTGGCTAACAGTATGCAAATGCATTGTTGTGTGGTTGCAGGTTTAATGGGGAGGTTGGAGATGTTGTAGTTGGCAGAATCACTGAGGTGAGGGACCGAGTCTGCTCTGCATAAATAACAAGATACAAGTGCATAAAAAAATTACGATATTGTAAAAGTAAAAAATAAATATTTTCAATTATTTTAGAGTGAAACTCATATTAATTACAACAAGAAGAACCATAGAGTGGCATATTTCAAACCTTTATTTCTTGTAATTTTGATGATTATGGCTTACAACTAATGAAAAAAAAAAAAAAAAGTGTCTCAGAAAATTAGAATTTTGTGAAGAAGTTCAATATTGTAAACTCCTAGTTTCACACCGTGATCAGCTGATTAACTCCTTGAAATGGGCTACAATTCATTCCTCAAGTCAAACCACTCCTGAACCATAGACGACGTCTGAAGCACAGCATACCTGCTGAGGAGAAGAAGAACAGAACTGTTGCTCAGTGGACCAATGTCCTCTTTTCATATGAAAGTAAATTTTGAATGTCACTTGGAAATCAAGGTCCCAGAATCTGGAGGGTGAGTGGAGAGGCCCACAATCTGTGTTGCATGAAGTCCAGTGTGAATTTACCACAGTCAGTGATGGTCATCTGCTGGTGTTGATCCACTGTGAAGTCCACAGTCAAAAATCCATCAGGATATTTTAGTCTCTCATCATTAAAAGGACTGAGATAGGGAGGGGCTGACAGTCATAGATTCCTGGGACTGCAGCTTACATCAGATCTGAGCTGGTCTCTCGACACCACAGCCACAGTGAACCCCCCCCCCCCCCCCCCAGCAAAGGCTGTATTTCATTAGATTGCTCAGGAAAGCTGGTTTGAACCAGCACCCTGTCATCCAGACCTATAGAGGACTGATAGAGCGTATCTTAACCACGGGCATCACTGTCTGTTATGGGAACACCATACAAGTAGAAAGGAAGGCACTGCAAAGAGTAATAAGGGCTACAGAGAGGATCACAGGGACAAAACTTTCTTCCATGGACTCTATGTATCGTATGCACAGCACTGTCAGAAGAAGAGCAGAGGGAATTATCAAGGACTCCATCCAGCTCACTCTACGTGGACACAAAAAATATTCATATAACTTGAGACACAGTAGAGCAGATCGTATCCTCACCTTTAGTACAAGGTTTTAAATATTTTTTTAGACTGAGGGTAAAACAAAACTACTGAACAGGTGCAATAATAACCTTACACTACCTAACTTCACTTGCCATGAGATTAGGGAAGGTGTTGCTGTTACCACTGTACAGTGTAGATATAATTACTTCATTCTTATTTTATTGTTTAGTGTTTTGACTGTGACTCTGACATATATCTGCACAAGAGTTCCAATATACCTGGATTGTTGGCGTTATGCACAAATGGCAAATAAAGCACTTTTGTATCTTTTGCAATATATGAGTTTCACTTTCTAAAATGACTGACAAAATATTTGAACTTTTTGATGATTAGGTTTTTAAATGCACCTGTATGTGGTAATAACAAGTTATCATTTTCATCAGGAATGTTCACAGTGTGCGCTGTTTTCTGCAGGTACAACAGAAACGGTGGAAGGTTGAGACCAACTCCAGATTAGACTCTGTACTCTTGTTGTCTTCTGTCAATCTGCCTGGAGGAGAGCTGGTGAGATGGTCCGAATAAGAGCTATAGTTATCAGAACTCTTTCCTTTAAAGCATTTGCTGAACTATTTTGATTTTAACTTTTAGAGAAGAAGATCCGCAGAAGATGAGCTCACCATGAGAGAGTACCTTCAGGAAGGTGATCTCATCAGTGTAAGACAGCTTTTTCTTAATAAACTTTGATTTGCTTCTTTTTGTTTTTCATTTGTTCCCATTTAAAATAATGGGTTTGTCTTTGTCCTGTGGGTTTTAGGCAGAGGTGCAGTCAGTTTACTCAGATGGAGCCCTTTCACTTCACACTCGTAGTTTAAAGTATGGAAAAGTAAGTTACGGTGCACAATGACGCATTTTAATGTGATTAAATGCAACTAAACTGTTACATTAGACACAATTCTACTAATTATACACCTTTACATATACGAGTCTAAGCTTCTAATTTGTAAAATTATATTGTGTTTCTACAAGAATAAATAATTATAAATTCAATAATAAATTAATTTACAGTTTTTATCAACAGTTTTCTTGTACCAAATCTTTTTCTGCTTTTGTTAGTTGGGTCAAGGAGTGCTGGTCCAGCTTTCACCTTCTTTGATCAAGAGACAGAAAACCCATTTCCACAACCTACCTTGTGGTGCATCCGTCATCCTGGGCAATAACGGCTTTGTGTGGTTGTATCCGACACCGGGACAACAGGAGGAAGAAGCTGGCGGCTTCTACACCAGTCTGGAGGTAAAATCTGAACCCATGAAGAAAAGCGTTTTGCAAACGATGGTATCTTTTATTTTCTTGAATATGTAAGCGCGTTAAAATACAGAAGATGCTCTCATGGGATAATCCCAGTTTTATTACAGGAAAATCAAAGCATTGATCTTTTCCTCAATATTTTCAGGCAGGTAAGTATTTTTAGATACATTTTTTTTTCCAAAGTACAGTGCCAATTAAGTTTTCTTCCCCAATATTTTGAGAAATACATCAATTCTAAGCTTGTTTTGTTATCCATTCAATGCTAGATGTGACCAGTAAACCAGCAAATGTTTCTATGTACAGTGCAGATAATAAGTGTTAAGATGTAAAGTGCAATAAGGACAGCAACAAAAAGGAGGCGGAGCAATGGTCAGAGCTGTCGCCTCAGGATAGCCTTTCTGGGTGAAGTTTCCATGTTCTCCCCATGCGTAATCTTTTCTCTGGGTACTGAGACTTCCTCCCATAGGCCTAAAACATGCATTGTCTTTATTGTCTCTATGTGGCTCTGCAATAGACTTGGGACCTGTCCAGAACATACCCTCCTCTCACACAGTGGCTGTCGGAGATCGGCACACAACCCAGAAAGGAGTAGCAGATACAGAAAATGTTTGGATGAGTGGAACAAAATAGAGGTGCTCAATGCATCATGGGAAGTCTCAGCAGTTCAGTTGCTTGAAAAAAGTTTTTAGTCGAGATTGAAAAGTAGAGAGAGAGGCCTGACCTTCAAGACATTGTTTACGAAGATGGTTCGAAAGGAAAAGAGCTAAAAGGCTGTCTCTCAATCTACTTTGTAAAAACAAGATTTATAAGTTTACGGTTTATTTGTGCACATTACAGAAGAACAACCATCACTTCTTCAGGAGTTTATGGTATGGGGTCAGTTGTAGGAGATCCATTTTCCAAAAATTTCTGCTTGAAATTTGCTAACGACATCTGAATATTTTTGTTTTATATGATAAAAACGAAGGTTTGACTGTTAGGCCATAATTCTCTGATCCACTTGGAAAGAAAATCTGCATCAGTGCACTACTACTCTATTCAAACTGGATGAGTTAAAAAAAAATCCCAAGCTTATGGTACCATTAGGCTATTTCTTTTACTACAATTAATTCAACAACAATCAGTGTGACTATAAATAGCTTTTTGTTTTCAAAATTATGCATGTAACACATCCCTGGGTCTCATGGGAGCACCATAGAAACTGAATCTACTACTGTATGTTTATGAGGGAAAACAAGAAGTTGAATCAATTTAAAAATGAACCAAATGATTAAAATGTGATTTTAAAAATAGTTGTGTGTTTTTGCTGAAGTAATACTGTAAGAAAAAGCAGATGGGCATAAAACTTGTAGAAATATTTGTTAATCTTGGTAGAATTCTTTCATTTGTCGTTCTGTTTCTGCATCAAGATCTAAAATGGCTCAAGATGATGTGACTATGCAGAATCTGTTTTAATCTCAATGTGTGTGCTGTGTGTTGAGAAATAGCCACTCGTGTGAGTGTGTTAGTGTTTTGAGTCTGTTGAAGACCGGATGGTTTTGATGTCCTTGTAGTATTAGTGAAACTTTGAACGGAAAGAGTTTATATTATTTATTTTAACAATGATTGTTCCACTACTTTAAAATAAGCTGGATTAAAGTTGTTTCCCTGTTTGTCTCTGGCCTCTCAGCCTGTTAACTTGTCAGATCGAGAGGTGATTTCACGGTTGAGAAACTGCCTGCTGGCTTTGGCTGCACACAAAGTGCTTCTGTACGACACGAGTGTCCTGTACTGCTACGAATCATCGCTTCAGCACCAGGTAGGAGTTGTCATGGTTATTTATTCAGCCTCAAACTCTGCTTTTATGATTTCTTTTTTAATTAATACAACTGGTTTAAAAATACAAACAAGTGTAATGAAACTGGAATACAAACTTTAACTTCTACTAATATTTATTGTGCCATTTGGTGGCCATATTTAGAATTTTTACTCCAGTTATGAACTTTACATCTTTTAGATTTTGGAAAAACTCTTATTGTATTAATCTGTCAGGTAGAGTACAGATGACTTAATCCCTGCTTCTGACTAGGCCTGTCACGATAACAAATTTTGCTGGGTGATAAATTGTCTCAGAAATTATTGCGATAAACGATAATATTGTTTGAAATTTGACAATAATTATTAATTATTATGAAATTTAAGAAGAAATGTTGTTTAATTTGTTTTGTGTGTAGTACCTTTTTTTGACCCCCGAATGGCAGTATAAGACTGTTTGAACAGAAGGATGGTAGTTCGGGAGCAAGCAGTGTCTCTTTAAGAAAAATGGGAGGGAGGCCGCTGGACTTGACATGGGCTGTCTGTCTTTCTTTTTTTTTTTTATCACAAAATGGTGAACGCTCGGTGTGATTTGAGCTCTTTAGCATAGCATTTGTCACACAAAGCTTTTAATAATAATTAAAAAAAAATCAATAAACAAGTTCTCAGCTTCTTTTGCAGAGAAAAAACAACTTTTTACACAAAGGCACAGGTTTCAACTGTGAATTTTGGAGCTTTGACAAGACGGAGGTTTTTTCCCGAGGTCGGCCTGTTAGCTTAGCTCGTAGCTTAGCTGCTTTTAACAATTTTAAAAAAAAGTGATTTTGGACGGTTAAAACAGATTTTAAAGAGAAAGGGAGGAGTCAGTGAAGAGCACCGGAGTTGAGCCTTTTGTCATCCAGTGTCTTCAATAGAAAGAGAGAGACAAAGAAACGATAAAGCCGATAAATGAAAATGAGGTCGATAATTTTCATTTATGCGATTAATTGATTTATTGTTTATTGCGACAGGCCTACTTCTGACAAACTGCACTAGCATGCATTAGCTTAGCTGTGTTTTGTTAAAATGTTCACACGACAAAGTTTTCTTTTTGGGAATCTTGGATAACAAAATCCAACCTAAATCATTATCTCTACACAATTTGGTGTGTCACAATTTCTGTTTATTTATTCACTTTTATTAAACCATTTTTCTCTTTATGTGTCTGCGTTATTGTTTTTCCTCTTAGGTCAAGGACATCTTGAAACCAGAAGTGATGGAGGAGATTGTGATGTTGACACAACAGAAGTTAGAACAGGAAAGTTAAGAAGCACAAAATCTCATTAACAAAAAATATAAATCTTCAAGGATCTGTATAGTAAGGCCCCTTCCCCAAGATTTAACAGCTTTCCTGTTATTTCTTATTATTCCAATGTTCTGTTTGTGACAATGAGGTGCTCAACTTGTTTTATTGCAGAAAGAAATGACGCTGCTTGCAAAGATGCATTCTCTTTAACTTTTAGAAAATTTCTAACACGTTTTTCTAATATGTACTTAAAAAAACATTGTCTGAAATAAACTTTTTGAGTTATCTGTATTTTTTTTACTGATTATGTGCTCTGAGGAACTATAAAAATGGGGGGAAACCAGTGTTTACAAGCACAAAGTTATAGTTTGATCTTGTGCTCATCAAACCTTGCTGTTTGACAGAGTTTCAGCTTTTAGCTATTTAACAGTTTAAAATAAATTTGATTTAGATTAGAGTACAAAACTAATTTCAAATGAGATGGGAAGCTTGTTAGAAACATTTTTAGTTAACATTTTAGAGGCTTTGGATTGCAACTCTGAAATTTCTGTCACCAAAAGTTTGTGTTCTGATGTGGGTGATGTTACAGTACATCTTTACACGATGTATGAAGGACTTCAGAGAGGAACCGTTTCATGGAGTGATTTATGAGAATAAAATCTTTCTAACAAATCTAAATGGAAGTCAAAAGCTGAAAAAGAGTTAGACGGATGTGCTGCCAGATTTTGTTGTAGGTGAGAATTCAGGCAGCAGATGTTTAGACTTAATGGAGGGGTTTTGGGAGCTTTGCTTGGTACCCTGAACCAAAACGTGTATTTGTTATGTATGAACAGTTCAGCCACAGAATTGGAGCGTGACGGCTGGAATCTTGGAAGTACTTTGGAGAAAGAAAAAAAATAATAATTTGGTGACGGATTTAATGTTTGACTCAAAGGACAGAGAGGAATTTACATTTACCGTATGTCAATGTTGCAATGTGCCATATTTTTCAGACTATAAGGTGCATTAAACAAAACAAAGCAGATAAGTCCAACTTTATTCAGCTCATTCACAATAACCACATAAAATTGGTTTGAGGTCAGTAAGCACAACCAGAATTAATACATAAGGCACACCTGATTATAAGGCTCAATTTTTGAGAAAATTAAAGGATATTAAGTGTGCCTTATAGTCCACAAAACAGTATCAAAAAACCTATATGGCAGGCTTTTGATACATATAATCAAACTAAACTAAATCTCCAATTACTTTTTAAATTAATTAATAAAAGCATAATTCCTTTTCAAAATGCCTGAAATAACATTCCTAATATTAAAATCATATTTCAAGGTCTCTGCAATTGTGAATAAATAAAAAAAAAGTTTTTTAAATAAATAAAAAAATAAATTTTTAACATGTAATTAGTTATTAAGTGAAGCTCACATTTCAGATATCTATGATGTAGTCAGAATTTGTCCTTCACCAGCTTTGTGTTAAAATGGTATTCCACCAATTTCTTACTGGTTATTCTAAATATCTTTCCAGATATTTGGAGTTACATTGTTTCATGATTTCTGAAATAGTTTTTAAACTAGACGTTCTTAATGACATTTTTGTCAGTTTGAATGTTAGATCAACAAATGGATCAAGATCTCTGCTGGATTTTTACTTTAAATATATATAGAGGAAAAATATCACTTGTAAAAACTGAATAGAATTAAGTTCAGTAAAAATTATACATAAATTCTTAGGGTTTTTCTTCCTCCCTTTGTTCGGCTTCCCCCTTCTTTAGGGGTCGCAACAGTCGCATGAAGACTTCGCAATTATTTTTACACCGGATCCCCTTTCTGATGCAACCGCGTGCGCCACCGAGCTACGACAGCCCTCTGTGTGGAGCAGAGAGCTGCCATCTAGGGCGCCTGGGGGAGCAGATGGTGGGAGTTCAGGGCCTTGCTCAAGGGCCCAGAGTGGGGCAGATGACAGCGGAGGCAGGTGTGGGTGCTTCACCTATCCCACCCACGTTTTGATGTCAGTACCGGGAGTTGAACCAGCAATCTTCCAATCACAGGCCCACCTTCTCTAACCTCTGCGCCACCACTCCCTCACATAAATACATTGATTAAAATACGTAAGTGAAAACACTTATTTCCATGTGGTCCTACGTAATAAGCATACCAAGAAATATGATGGAAACATGGACCAGAGAAAAATGAACAATAAATACCAATATACAGATGATGACGTGGAACAGCCATGACAATTTATGCTATTGTAAATAAATACAAATGCAAATATGTTATGACTTATAAGATTGAAATAAAAGCAAAGAAAAGGAACTAGATTCTCGTAATTAAAGACATGATAAAATTCAGCTCTACATCAAGAAGGTAGGTAAGCAAAAACTTTTGACCTTATGTTTGAAAATGTATTCATTAGAAATTGCCTGTATTTGCCTGTGGAGCTCATTCAATGCTATAGCACCAGTGTAACTGAAAGAGGACTGTCCAAAAGATTTTATAGAAAGATCTGATAAAGACAACATGCCAGATCAGGTATTATGCTGGATTTTATTTACAGTAAAAGAAGAAGTTTAGTAGGAGGGGCTTGTCCAAATATTATTTTGTGTATGTGATTGAGTTCCAGTTGTTTTACTCGAAGGTTGACTGGATGCATCTTGACCTGTTCAAACTCAGATTGACCTATATGGGTATGAGGTGGGACATTTAGAAGATAACAAACTATTTTGTTTTGGAGGCCTGCAGACAATTGTGTTTCTTGGAAATACCAGAATACCAAAAGATATTGGCGTAGTCAAAGTGACGTCAAAATCAAAATGATCTGTCTATACAGAAACGAGTTTGGTATTGCATTTCCTGATAACTGTATCAGCAATTTGGCTGCTCCAAAGTGTTCGGTTCAATACAACACCTAATCCTTGACACAGAATTTGCTGCACAGAATATGATCATCACATTTAACATATACATATATATATATA